TCTATCTCCTTCAGTTCTGTTCTGATCTTAGTTATTTCTTGTCTTCTGCTATCTTTTGGCTTTTGTTTTGTTTTGCTCCTCTAGCTCTTTCAATTTTGATGATAGGGTGTCAGTTTTAGATCTTTCCTCACTTTTCATATGGGCATTTATAAATTTTCCTCTAGACACTGCTTTAAATGTGTCCCAGAGATTCTGGTACGTTGTGTCTTCATTCTCATAATTGTTGTGAACTTCCTTATTTCTGCCTTCATCTCATTGTTTATCCAGTCATCATTCAGGAGCAAGCTGTTCAGTTTCCATTAGTTGTGTGCTTTTGAAGTTTTCCTAGGCTTTATGCGTGTTTCCCCATCTCTGTCTGCCTGTCTTCCTCCATGTGTTTTACTATTCTACAGACCTCATGATGCTTTCCTGTCTCAGACTGTAACTTTTGCTTTAACTTCATTATTTCTATGGCACATCTACTGTCTTTGCAATATTATATCTTTTCTTCTGCTTACTCTAGATTTAATTTACTCTTCCTTTTCCAGTTTCCTAAGTTGGAAGCTTAGGTGATTTAATTTATATTTTTTCTCTTCTAATACATGCATTCAATACTATGCATTTCCCTCCAAACTCTTTTTTCATTGAATCCACATGTTTTAATAGGCTGTGTTTTCATTTGCATTTGGTTCAATTTTTTTATCTCTCTTGAGATTATTTTTTTGAACTCTGTCTTATTTAGAAGTGCATTATTTAATCCCCAAGCATTTCTGGATTTTCCAGTTACTGTTATATTATTATTTTGTTATTTATTTCTAGCTTAATTCTATTGTAGTCTGAGGGTAGATTTGATATAATTTCTAGTCTTTTAAATTTATTGAGATATGTTTTACAGTCCAGAATGTGGATTATCTTGGTGAATCCTCAATGTAGGCTTTCAAAAAATTTGTATTCTGTCCATTGTTGGATAAAGTTGTCTATAGACATAAATTATGCGCAGATTATTGATGATGCTGTTGAGGTCAGCTTTGTCCTTACTGATTTTCTGCCCACTGGATCCATACATTTCTCCTAGACCTGTTGAAGTGTACAACTCTAATGGTGGACTCATCTCATTCTCCTGCAGTTCTGTCAGTTTCCTCCCCAAATAGTTGGAAGATTTGTTGTCAGGTACATACACCTTAAGGATTGTTGTATCTTCAAATATAGAGCCCTTCATATTTATGATACACTCTTCTTTATTCCTGGTAATTTTGCTTGCTTTGATGTCTTCTTTATCTAAAATTAATTTGGCTACTCTTGCTTTCTTTAATTAGTGTTAGAATGATATAATTCCAGCCATTTGCTTTTAATTTATATCTGTCATTATATTTAAGTGGGTTTCTTATGCCAATATATACAGTGGTTGAGTCTTGTTTTTTGATCCACTCTGACAATCTTCCTTTGCATTGATGCATTTAGACATTCAAAGTAATTAGTGATATAGTTTAGTCAACTACTATATTTTTTATTTGTCTTCTGTTTATTGCTCTTTTGTCTCATTTTATTATTGTTGTTGTTGTTTTAGAGACTTGGTCTCACTTTGTCACCCAGGCCAGAGTGCAGTGTCACCCAGGCCAGAGTGCAGAGTGCAGAGATCATGGCTCACTGCAGCCTGGAACTCTTGGGCTCAAATCCTCTCCCTGTCTCAGCCTCTTGTGTGTACCTGGGACTATAGGCAACTGCCACCACACCTGGGACTTTTTAATTTTTTTTTTTTTTAGAGGTGGGGTCTTATTATGTTTCCCACGCTGGTTGTGAACTCCTGGCCCCAAGTGATCCTCCCACCTCATCCACCCAAAGCCACTGCGCCCAGGCTTTGTCCCTGTTTTTGTCTTCCACTTACTTTTTTGCCTTTTATCATTTTATTGCAACATTTTATATAATCCATTTTGTTTCCTTTCTTAGCATATATGCTGTACTTTTTAAAATTTTATTAGTAGTTGTCTTAGTAAATAAAATATTTTATTTTTCATATTCTTAACTGATCTAACAGACAATAGCTTGTGGAAAAAATAGCAACATGATACAATATATGTAATATAAGATATTTGTTTATATATTATATATATATACACATGTATGGTTTTATATATAAGTGAAATGAATGACAGCAATAATATAAAGGACAGAAGGGAAGAAATACAATTGATTTTCTTTATAATAAGATACACTATATATCAACATCAATAGTATTATTTTAAAAAAGAGTTGGATTACCTTTGTTTTTTTGAGATGGAGTCTTGCTCTTGTTACCCAGGCTGGAGTACAGTTGCACAATCTTAGCTCACTGAAACCTCCACCTCCTGGGTTCAAGTAATTCTCCTGCCTCACCCTTCCCAGTAGCTGGGATTACAGGCATGCGCCACCACCCCTGGCTAATTTTTGTATTTTTATCACAGATGGGGTTTCACCATGTTGGTCAGGCTGGTATTGAACTCCTGACCTCAAGCAATCCGCCTACCTCGGCCTCCCATACTGCTGGGATTACAGGTGTGAGCCACTACTCCTGGCCTCTGGATTACTTTTTAAAGTAAATTGTAAACTGTAGGGCAAGCTGTTGGACCAAGGGCCTTGGTTCCTTGCTGGCTATTGGTCAGAAGCTGCCTTTCAGTCTCTTCCCATAGTGGCCTTGCCCACTGGAAACTTCTTCCACATTGTAGAATGCTCCATTGAATTTATCAAGAAAGAGTTTGCTAGCAAGATAGAAATCACAATCTTATGTAACATGCATGACACCCAATCTGATATGCCACCACCTTGACAATATCCTCTTGTTTCAAAGCATTCACAGTTTCTGACCACACTCACTCATAAGGAGGAGGTTAGCATACACAGTGTGTATAGCTAGAGGTGGGGATCATTGGAAGATATCCTAAGGTCCACCTTCCAGTGTAGGTCTTCTCCAATATGAAATCATTTCTGTCTTCATTTATTTTTCATGACCTCAACCCGTTTAGAAAAATATCAGTCAGGCATTTTAAAGCCTCCTCACGACATGGATTTGTCTGATGATTTCTCATGATTAGACTGCAAATAAGGGTTAAACACTTGCATTGATCTAAGTTTGAAGACATAAACCTTGAGCGAGACATTAATTTGAAATGCAAACTTAGAAACTTAGAAAATAATAAAAACTAAAGAGACAAGTCAAGAATTCAAAATAATAGTTAACTTCAGCAGGGAAGAAAGAGGATAAAATTTTGGAAATGCTCTCAGGGAACATCAATAACATTGCAAATAACCTTTCTATGAAGCTTTGCAGTAATCATAGAAATAAACTTTTACTTGGAAATAGTTTCAGATTTACAGAACAGTTGTGAAGATCATACAGAGACTGTATATATGTCCCACAAACAGTTTCCCTTATTATTAACCTCTTATATTAGTGGGGCATATTTGTCACAATTAACAAATATTATATGTTACCACTCACTAACATCTACACTTTATCCAGGTGCCATTGGATTTCATTTAATGTCTATTATCCATTCTAGGATGCCTCCCAGGACACCATTTCACATTAGATGTCATGTCTTCTTTGGCTCCTATGCCTGTGACAGTTTCTTAGACTTCCCTTACTTTTAATGATATTGAGACACCTAATTTGTAATTTCTCTAATTTTTTTCCCCTGATTAGACAGGACTTGAGAGTTCTGGGTAAGAAGAACAAGAACATAGTGGGAAAGTGTCACTCTCCTCACATCACCTGAAGGGACAGACTATCAATAGGCTTTATTACTGCTAATGTCACCTTGATCACTTAGATGATGTAGTTCTTATTGTATTTCTCTGCTGTAAAGTTTCTCATTTCACCCTTTCCACGTTATACATTTTTTTAAAAGTCACTATTCACAGCACATACCTAAGAAGTAGAAAATCATGCTCCACACCTTTGGGCAGATTATCTACAAAATTGCTTGGAATACTTATGTCAAAAGGCATTGAACAATCTTTCATATGCTCATTCAACAACAAATGGTTATTCAAATAATTTGCCCATTTTTAATTTGTATGTTTGCCTGCTTGAGTTGATTTTTTTTTTGAGAAAGGGACTTACTCTGTTGCCCAGGTCGGAGTGCAGTGGTGTGATCACAGCTCACTGCAGCCTCGGCCTCCCCAGGCTCAAGTAATCCACCCACCTCAGCCTCCTGAGTAGCTTGGACTACAGGTGCGCACCACCACATGGGCTTTTTCTTTTTTCTTTTTTTTTTTTTTTTGTAGAAACTGGGTTTTACCAAGTGGCCTACTCTGGTCTTGAATTTCTGGGCTCAAAAGATCTGCCTGTCTCAATCTCCTAAAGTATTCTGGAGAGTATTAATGTATTCTGGAGAATAGAACCTTATCAGCTAAATGAATTATAAAATTTCTTTCATTCTTTGGGTTTTTGTTTTTTTTGATAGTGTGGTTTTAATCACAAAATATTTAAGGTGAATATATCTTTCTTTTCTTCTCTCCCTTGTGCTTCTGGTGTCAAATCTTAAAAACATTGTTTAGCACTTACATTTAGGTATATAATCCAGATTGAATCAATCAGGCATATGGCTTGAGGGAAGAGTCCAGCTAATATCCAAGTTTGCACTAGTGCCAGCTGCATTGGTTGAAAAAGATATTTTATACGGAAGAAAGGGAAGAGTGAAAACCTGCATTCCTTGCACAAATACCTATATTCCCAGCTGTACTCTGAATAAAGAGTAGGGTTTAGAACATTGGAATATTACTGATGATACTTTTGTCTCCAATGTCCTTGTGAATCTTAGATAATCCCCCCAATATTGCCCTCCATGTTAGTTGCTTACTACATTTTGGTAAATTTTATTAGAGATCAGTGTGCTTTATTACAAGTTCCTACTTCTTGTAGCCTGGGGATTTTTTACTCCCCTAACAGCCAGATGAGGCAGAAACCCCTGCAGACATCCCTGGTTGCCTCCTGCGCAAACGCAGTTGTCCCATGAAAGCAGTCTTGCTGCAGACCACACCCACCATGAGCGGAGCCACAGCCACTGCGGCTGAGCTCAGAGCCTTCTGTGGGGTCTGCAGGGGCCAGGCCAGCTGCCCCCTGGGAGTGTTTGAAGAATGCAGTTCGTTTGTATAAGAAAGACTTTTCTCTAGAGTCATTCATCTTGATGATCAAGGATGTTTAACAGCTTCAGGCTTTCCTGGTAATATTCTTGCCTTTTTTTTGGCAAATATAGTTAACACTTTTATGCCTTTGTTATCTCACATAAACATCCTCTAAAACCAAATTTATATTTCTGTATCGTGTATTAAAGCTTTTCATTCCTATATATAAAAATGCATTCATAATCGCTTTTCAAAATGTTTTCAGTTATCTTTTCAAGGATCATTGTTTACTAATTTTCGTTTTAGTATTTTCTAGATACTTGCTATGAAATACCTATAGTTGAAAAGGAGAGGGGCATAGACGTTTGTGAGAACCGCAACACAAAATTTGCTGAGAATCGCATGCTTAAAATTATCGTTCATGGGCCGGGCGCGGTGGCTCACGCCTGTAATCCCAGCACTTTGGGAGGCCGAGGCGGGTGGATCGCGAGGTCAAGAGATCGAGACCATCCTGGTCAACATGGTGAAACCCCGTCTCTACTAAAAATACAAAAAATTAGCTGGGCATGGTGGCACATGCCTGTAATCCCTACTACTCAGGAGGCTGAGGCAGGAGAATTGCCTGAACCTAGGAGGCGGAGGTTGCGGTGAGCCGAGATCGCACCATTGCACTCCAGCCTGGGTAACAAGAGCGAAACTCCGTCTCAAAAAAAAATAAATAAATAAAATAAAATAAAATAAAATTATCGTTCATTGTTTGCACTATATGGCTTAGTTTGTTCTAATTGTGAAAGGTACACAGGCATTAATTTGTGTGGCGGCAACACTGAAAATCCCATTCTGAATGCAGAGAAGCACTTTGCTACTGTGCAAGTAACAATGTCCTCATATCCTTTGTTTATTACCCTTACCAAAAAGCTGTAGACATTGACTGGAATCTTTTATTTTTTCCAACTTGTTTTTGTAAATATCTGCATGATGTGTCTTTGTACAGAAAACCAATATAGAGACATGTATTTGTTTTTACTCTTTAATGAGTAATTACTAAATTGTTTTTTCATTGAAATAAAAATGCCTTTCAGGAAATGTCATACGTCTCCAGGCAGCATATATTGTTATAATATGGCCTTGGAGAAACAGAATTAAAATTTTTATTTTCTGTTATCAGTGAACTAGCAAAATATTATTAAAAGTTATCTTTTAATATTTAATATATTTAAATAATATTAAATTAATTGTATATTTATTAAGTTTAATATTAATATTTAATTAATATTTAATAATATTTAATATCATTTTCTGTTTCTGTTATCAATGGACTAGCAAAATATTATTTAAAGTTATCACAGGTGTGAGTTTCTTAGATTTTATGTTTCGTTGACTCAGTAATATACCCACCTCAGTTATCTAGCTGCTGTGTCAATGTCTACTCTTTTATACTCTTCTGACATCGTTTGTATGTGAATAGATGGTTCAGTGGCCTAACTAGTGAAGATGAGATTCCTAAAGCACATTTGAACAGGAATTTAGGACTCAAGAAACAATTCAACGTTCCCAAAGTACAACAGGATTAATTACAGCCTGAATATGCATTATGCAAATGCCAACATGATTGTATTGAGAGGAAAACATTTTTTAATGAAGCACACATTCTGACATGGCTGCTATACAAGCAATGAAATCCTCCGTCTAATGATCTAAAAAATATTTTTGGCTGGATTTCCGAAAAATTTATGATCTATGAGAATCCAAGAGACCAAGAGCATTGATAATTTATGGATATTTTTATTCCAAATAATAGATGGCATATTTGTTTGCCAGGTAATGCTGTCGTCAGGGGTTGTGGTCTTCAGTACTCTATACAAAGAATTTCAAGGGAAGATCTTGTTTAAAAAAAAAAACAAAACAGTTCCCCAATCTCCCTCATCTTCATTATTTTATTGTATTATGATTTGGTACCGTTAATCTTAATTTTCCTAAATATTGAGAGCCATCCAGTTCTCCATGCAAACTATATAGGTGAGGTATTTATGTGGTAAAAGACAGGGGAGCAAGGTTATTCCCAAATTTAGAAGAAACTAATACCCAGCTATAAAAAACTAGAAACAGGCTGGGCGCGGCGGCTCACGCCTGTAATCCCAGCACTTTGAGAGGCCGAGGCGGGTGGATCACAAGGTCAAGAGATCGAGACCATCCTGGTCAACATGGTGAAACCCCATCTCTATTAAAAATACAAAAAATTAGCTGGGCATGGTGGTGCATGCCTGTAATCCCAGCTACTCGGGAGGCTGAGGCAGGAGAATTGCCTGAACCCAGCAGGCGGAGGTTGCGGTGAGCCGAGATCGCGCCATTGCACTCCAGCCTGGGTAACAAGAGCGAAACTCTGTCTCAAAACAAAAAAAAAAAACAAAAAAACTAGAAACATACTGTCTGTGAAAACACTTTGTGATGTGCAGTTTTATATCACAGAACAGAACCTGTGTTTTGATTCACCAGGTTCTAAACACTCTGAATAATCTATGAAATGACATTACTGAGTCCATTGAAGCATATATTTTTATAAGTATATCCAGCTCTAAAATCTAGAAAAAACGCTTTTTATAAAAACTATTTATGATGTTCTGTTTTATAAGACAGAATAGAACCTGTGTTTTGATTCACCCATTTTCACTCTTTTTGTAGAATTTATGAAGATTTTCAGGGACACAAATAAAGGACCTAAAAATTATTGGTTCTCCTTCTTTTGAAGAGAAATATGTAATGGTCTTTTCAATAAAAACCTCCATTTAAATTACAGATCCTCCTCAATTTATGATGGGTTTACTTTCTAATAAACCCATCGTAAGTTGAAAATAGTTTCATTGGAAAATACATGTAAAACATGTAACTTACTAAACATAGTAACTTAATCTAACCCACCTTTAATATAGTCAGAACATGTACATTAGCCTACAGTTGGGCAAAGCTATCTAACACAAAGCCTACTTTATAATAAAATGTGGAATAGCTTATGCAATTTATTGACTACTGTACTGAAAGTGAAAAACACAATGGTTTCATGGGTACTTGAAGTATACTTTCTGCTGAATTCATGTCACTTTCCCACTATCATAAAGTTGAAAAATCTTAAGTGAAACATCCCAAGTCATAGACTGTCAAAATGTAATCAGTATATCAGCCACATATAACAACACATTATAGAAAATGCAGGTTTTGGTTTTGGTGTGGTGGTTTATCCTACTCATAAGCAGTTCCTTCATCTTTAATGGGTCACCTCTCATCGTGGGCTAATGTTGCAAGATGGGCTGTGTTATGTCCTCTGTCTTTTTACAGTTAGGGATAAGATGAAAGGATTGAAGACCAAGTTTATTAAAATGGCTTCTTCATGTGGCTTTGCCTTTTTCTCCTAGACTTCTCCCATAGTTCTATTACCCATGTATATATAAAAATTGCTAGCACAAGTCAACCTTCTCTGCATGGGTGCTGGCATGTTTCCTCTCTCCCATTCCTAACACTGGGCTTGGATAATGGCTGGATGAAATGGAGCAAAACTCTTCTTCAAGACCCTCAGTTTCATCTTCTCAACACAAAAAAGTCCCAAAAGTCCTTGGCACACCACAGAAGGAAACTTGCAGCTATAACTTGACACAGTCTTAGGGCTCCTGTAATTGTTTTAAGTCTTTCGGGGATTACTCTCCTTCCCTGATTGATGTACAGTGTCTTGCAAATTATTGCTCCTTATAATTTCCATTGCTGCTTATAATTTTTATTGTTCCATATAATTTCCATTGTTCCATATAACCTGTCCATTTTTTTACATTTCTTAAGGCATGACCAAACCATATTTGTTTTTCCACAAAGTTTTGATTCATACCTTCCACAATTACACAATGATTACTGTATTCCTGGCTGTTTGCTTCTAGCTGGCAATACAAAGGAACAATGTGTGCGACACTTAGAGAGAAAGATTGATAATTGAACTCCATTTGTAACACTAAAGAGAAGGTCAGAATTGGGCTATACACAGTATCAGTAGGAGTCTCCGTGGAAGTCAGCCACTGCATATCAACAAATCAACTATTTAATATGGAACTACAAAAAAGGATATCTCAGTCGATTAACTATAATCAAGCATTAGAATGGGGATATGGTCCAAGAAATGTGTCATGTGTCAATTTGGTCATTTTATTGTCAACGAATAGAGTCAACTTCTGTAAAATATATGAAGAGATTTATTCTTGGCCAAATATGACCTATGACACAACCCTCAGGAGGTCCTGAGAACATGCACCCAAGGTGATTAGGGTGTAGCTTGGTTTTATACATTTTAGGGAGGCATTAGATATCAATCAAACACATTTAAGAAATACATAGCTGCTACACAAGCAATGAAATCCTCAGTCTAATGATCTGAAAAATATTTTGGGCAGGAAATCCTGCCCAAAATATTTTTCGTCCAGAAAGGCAAGTATTCAAAGAGGAGTGGAGGGTGAGGGTAAATTTAAACACTTTCTGACTGACAATTGGTTGAATTGGTTGAGTTTATCTAAAGACCTGGGGTTAAAGAAAGAAATGCCTGAGTTAAGAGATTGTGGATACCAAAGTTTTATCATGCAGATGAAGCCTCCAGGTAGCAGGCTTCAGAGAGAATAGGTTTTGTTTGTTTGTTTGTTTTGAGACACAGTCTTGCTCTGTCCCCCGGCTGGGGTGTAGCAGTGCGATCTCACCTCACTGCATCCTCCACCTCCCGGTTCAAGTGATTCTCCTGCCTCAACCGCCCCAGTAGCTGAAATTACCGGCACACACCACCATGCTCAGCTAATTTTTGTATTTTAAGTAGAGACGGGGTTTCACCACGTAGGCCAGGCTGATCTTGAACTCCTCGCGATTTGCCCCACTGGGCTTCCCAAAGTGCTGGGATTACAGGCATGAACCACTGCACCTGCCTAGGTTTTAAAATGTTTCTTAACAGACTTAAAGTTGGTATTAATGTTAATACTGGGGAGGTATAATGAGGCATGTCCAACTCCTACTTCCTGTAATGGCCTGAACTAGTCTTTCAGGTTAAATTTTGAAAGAACTCTGATTGAGGAGAAAGTCCATCCAGATGGTTGAGTATTCTTAGAATTTAATTTTTTGTTTACATTGTGAACATCATAGAGTGCACTTACACAGACCCAGGTGGTATATTCTCCTACACACCTAGGCTGTATTCCTATTGCTCCTAGGCTATAAACATTTGCTCTGTGTTACTGTACTGAATATTCTAGCCAATTGTAATACAATGGTAAGTATGTGTGTCTGTAAACATATCTAAACATGGAAAAGGTAAGGATACAGTATTAGAGATAAAAAAGAAAAAAAATGGTATGCCTGTATGGGGCATTTATCGTAAATGCAGCTGACAGGACTGGAAGTTGCTCTGGGTGAGTCAGTGAGTGTTGGTTAGTTAAGATGAAGGCCTAGGACATTACTGTGTGCTTCTGTAGACTTTGTAAACATGGTTTTTGTCTCCTCAGTCATTTTCCAGGTATAGATACTATCTACGGATAAGAAAATTCAGTGGCCAAGCCAGGCACAGTGGCTCACGCCTATTATCCCAGCACTTTTGGAGGCTGAGGCAGGCGGATCATTTGAGGTTAGGAGTTCAAGAGTAGCTTTGCCAACATGATGAAACGCCATGTCTACTAAACGTACAAAAATTAACTGGGCATGGTGGTGCACACCTGTAATCCCGGCCACTTGGGAGGCTGAAGCAGGAGAATTACTTGAGCCCAGGAGGCAGAGGTTGCAATGAACTGAGACCATACCACTGCATTCCAGCCTGGGCGATGGAGTGAGACTCTGTCAAGAAAAAAAAGGAAAAGAAAAAGGAAGGAAAGAAGGGAGGGAGGGAGGGAAGGAAGGAAGAAGGAAGGAAGGGAGGAAGGAAGGGAGGGAAGGAGGAAGGAAGGAAGGGAAGGAAGGAAGGAAAGAAGGAAAAGAAGGAAGGAGGTATATAACACAAGACCACCTGGTATCAATATATTATGGTGAAAACATTCCAACAGGAAGCTGTAGAATATGGGGACCTGTGGCTGCATAGACAAGGGACCCATTGAGAGGTCCAAAGACAGTGAAAACTGGGGACATGCAGAGGTAGAGGTGGGGACATGCAGAGGTAGAGGAGGATTGGCAGTGGGTGGGCCTTTTGGGGACTTTTCCCCAAGGACAAACACATGTTCACTGATCTGTGTCTGCATGACTTCTTCCGTGTTCTTTGATATTCTCCTACAAGCCTCATGATTTTCTCATGTTTCTCAGAGCATAGTTTGTATTTTTGTCTTTATTCTTGTACTCTATGCCTTGTATACCTAGCTATATTTACCTAAATTTCTTATTGGTGAATTATTCATAGTTTTAAAATGTGCCACTTTGTAACCAAATGAAATTACCCTGGTTTATATACCTTTGGTGAATCATGCCTAAAGATTCATATCTTCAGAGTCCTCCCTCTATGCCCATAAGCAAGGATTAAGTTTGGGGTGTTGTGTTTTCCTAGTTAATACTGGATACTTCTAAGTTCTAGAAACTTTTAGTCTATCCAATATCCAATTAAAAAATGCAATTGCTTTATCTTTTACTTTTCTTTTTCCTGTAGTCTTTAAAATATATATTTTCTTCTGTTTGCTTTGGATTTAACTTTCTCTACTTTTTTCTTTTAAGGTTTCTAAGGTAGAAATTTATATGATTGATTTTTAGATTCCTCTTTTCTCATATTATGCTAAGGTTATCCATTTCTCTCTAACCTTTCACATTGCATTCCATGTTGCATTTGATAGGTTGTGTTTTCCTTCAAATTTAGCTCAAAATGTTTATAGAATTTTTCCTGAAATTTCTTCCTTGCCCCATGTGTTATTTAGAAGTATATTATTTTGCTATGCAGTTTGCAATTTACCATTTAGTTTTATTGAGTTGTACCTTAATTCTTTTGTGGTTTGAGTGTATGTGTTGAAGGATTCCCATTCTTTTAAATTTGTTTAGGTGTGTTTTATGGAGGAGAATGTAGTCTACCTTAATGAGTGATTTATGTGGGCTTGAGAAGACTCCGCATTCTGTCCATTGTTGGATAAAGTCTTCTGTAGATGTCATTTATATCAAGTTAATTGATTGTGCTGCTGTGTTCAACTGAATTCTGCTTTTTTTCTGCCTGGTGGATCTGTCTGTTTCTGAAAGAGGAGTTTTGAAGTCTACAACTATAAGGTGAATTCATCTATTCCTCCTTTTGGTTTTAAGTTTCTGCCTCACATGGTTTTGTTGTATTGGACCGAGTGTAGAAAGTTATCACCAAGACAAAAGTATGCCAGATTGCAGGGTCATTTATTATGCCGGCGACCACAGAGGACTCACGTCTCTCTAACCTGTGGTGCCAAAAGGAGGGTGCCATGATTTTTATACCCAAAAAACCACCTTGGGAGTGGGGGTGAGGGGCGGGGATGGGGATGAAAAGGTTTCGGACATTCCAAGGGCTAGGGGATTCTGTGATTCACCTCCTGGGTGGAGACAAGGGCGGGGGTCTCCAGACATTCCAAGGGCCAGGGGACTTTTGTCATTCTGTTTGTTACTTCAGTGGTTTACAGAAGTCAAGATATACATTTGTTTACACATCGTCTGGGTGGTGATAGAAGTCACAGATTTTAGCAGTTACTGATAAGAAAAGGTAAGCAGCTTTACATAGTTTTGCAGAACAAACTAGCAGTTCTATTTACAGAGGCCTAGGACAGTAGTTATTGTGAGGAGAATGGGGCAGCCATTTCAACTTATTTAAAAAACAGTTTTGCACTTTATAAAATAGTGTTGCTCAGGTTCTGGCTCTAGGCCAGCACAATATCACATTCCCCCCTGTTCTTTTAACATGTATTAAATCTTTAATAGGTTTCCTCTTTTTGACACAAGGGCCCATATTTGGATCTCAGAACCATCAATTTGACCAAATCTATTTCTTCCTGGATAAATTTGAGCAGCATGTTTAAAAGGCATGGTTCAAATGTTAACCCTAGGACCATTAGCACCAAGGGTCCTGCTAATCCAGTGAGCAGGAATGTTAGCCAGGGGTTTACGGGAGGGTCTCAGGTGAGAAAAATGAAAGAGTTTCTGTTTGCAATATATCCTGTTATAGTGGAGATAGTTTCACAACCCCAATAGGGGCAAAAGAATTCATTTAAGTCTCCACAGTTCCATTTTTTTGGCGGGGTGGATTCTGGGCACAGATATAACCCCATGGTCTGGAGTTGTCGCTCTGCCCCTAAACTGCCACACCCAGCTATACCTCCACTTGTCCTGAAATTTAAGTGGGGGCCCAGGAGGGCACAGAGGTCCAGGGAGAAGGTAATGGGGGTCTCCGGAGTGTACTCCAGGGTTAGGTTGACTAGGGTGGATCCCTCTCCGGTTAAGGAACTAACATATGCTCCAGTGGAGCCCTCGGTGATGACCCATCGATAGTAGGTGGGTGCTAAGGAGGGTCCCTTTCGGAGGGTGGTTGCAGGAATCAGGGAGATTAGGATGATGACCGAGAACGGCTCAATAGTCTTAGCTTCAGGGGGTCCGTTGAGGATGGAACCGCTTCCCATCCTGCATCTGGGCAGTCAGTCTTGACGTGTGAGTGGTGAATCCAGGCAGTCAGTCCGTCCACCTTGATTGCCGTGGGGGTGACCAGGATTACAGTGTAGGGTCCTTTCCAGCGAGGAGTTAGGCCAGAGGTAGTGACTCTCTTCACCAGGACTTCGTCCCCTGGCTGGAAGGGGTGTACCGGCTGGTCAGTGAAATCCACTGGGGTAGGTCGAGTTCCCCTGATGAGCGAGTGCACCTGGG